TAATGGCCTGCTATCCCTCAAAGGTTTTTGACACTATATAACTAAAATAACCTAACCTGCAAACGATTTCAAGTGTAAAGGCTTATGTCTTCTCGACTCCAAGAAGGTACCACATGCACATCTTTGTTTCTTTTTTTTTTTTTTATCCTCACCCGAGGACATTTTTCCATTTTTTGTACAGATAGAGTGGGAGGGAGAGAGAGGAAGACAGAGAGAGGGAAACATCGATGTGAAAGAGACACATCGAGTGGCTGCCACCCACACGACCAACCAGGGCCGGGGACAAACTGCAACCGAGGTACATGCCCTTAGCGGGAACCGAACCCGGGTCTCTCCGGCCCGCAGGCAGACGCTCCAACCGCTGAGCCAAACCGGCCAGGGCACATCTTTGTTTCTTATGGGAAGCTTTGAAAACACTCCAAATGCAGTTGAGAATCCAAATGGGTTAATGCTTCATGTACAATGCAAATGATAAAATTTGAATACCACTTCTGTACACACAATAACTAGTGAGTTCATTGCTGGAAAAAAAGAAAGATGATAGCTCAAACTACTTCCCAAAATAAAGAATTGGACTGGGAAGAAATATGTGAGTAGGAAAATTTCATCCTTTGATGTATTTCAAATTTCCTCCTGTGCTCCCCTGGGAGTTTGTGAAACAGTCACATCAGACCTGATACTTTTCCAGTAATTGTCTGAGGAAATGGAATGTGTATCACTGAACCAGGTGTGTTAGTCACAACTGTGCAAAAGGGTGGGGATTAAAGCACTCATGGTACAGCTAAAGATGTTGCTTATCTCGACATAGCTGTTAGACATCTGAAGAATGTATTCATAGAAAATGAGAAGCACGCTAACTCCAAAGAAATTCTGAAAGATATTTCCATTATAATAGTAAAGAATTTTTTAGAACACTGTAACAAACCCAATGACTCAGAACCCATGCTATCTGGCTCTTACCACTGGTATAATTTGAGTACCTGGTATAGCTGACCTGTAAGAGAAGTATCCCCATCTAGAGGCTGTGGGTCTTATGGAACACTGATATCCCAAGACAGTGTCAGGATTAGAGGACACACTCAAATCTATTTATTGGGTGAAGTGTGTTCTAAGATATAAGGAAAGAAAAAAAAAGTCTCTCATAAAAATTTTGATCCAGGTAGAAAAACCAGATTAAAAACTTTGGCTAAGATCCAAGTTGTAGGTCTTCATGGAATAATACAAGGTGTGGTAATTAATCTGCAAGAAAAAACAAATCACTGACATGTAGGCTAGCTCAAACAACAAAAATAGAAACATGGTTGAAAAAAACCTCATTGAGTAATTCTAGTAAGTGGAGTAACTATAACCACAAAATATGGAAATTTTAAATAGGTGAGAGTAGCTCTTAAATATTAGAATAAAAATTCAGAGTCAAAGTTTCTGGTTTCTATCACATAATTTAAACATTTTAAATTTGCAGTATCAAAACTTTGTAGGACATGCCTAGAAATCTTCTGAAGTAGAATAAAAGTAGGAGAAAAATTTTATGACTCAAAAATAGAAAAATGTGATCCAGTTAGAAAATGTCTTGAAGTCTAGTCTCTGAACATATAAATAATGCACAAGGCAAAACAAAGCAAGGAGAACTAGGAAGAGAACCATTCCCAACAGAGATCAAATTAAAGCTTTAAACACAATACTCCTAAAAATTAAGTGTCATGGATTCATCAAGTGAGAGAAGGAAGGTCCCAAAAGCCAACGAAAGACTCTCGAGCATTTCTACTCGTAATTCTTTGTGTACAATCCGGGTACAATTACAGGGACATTTTAGAGACATTTTCTCCCTTGGATTTGAAAAGTTAAAGACAATGTAACTGGAGCTGGGTCACTGCACCAAAGGTAAGACCACAAGGCTTTGCAGGAAGGCAAGCCAGCACTGGAAAGAATCCTTGGACTTGATCCAGGAGAATGTGGTCCTCTGCAATTAGCCCACAGGATTCAAAAGAGATTTCTTAATATATATTTAAACTTTATTGTAAAATGAAATGAATACAGTAAACTATACAAAACTAAAAGTAGATATATTCATCTCTCCAAAGGATCCGTAACTAGTGATCCTAGCACTCAAGTACCTTCATTTGCTCCTAACTCAGACGTGTCCTTCAACGCCAGCATTACATTGTTAAATACATCTCCAGTCGGGGCTCTGATTTGGAAAGGAAGGCAAGGAGGAATTCATTCTATTGGTAGAGAAGGAAGACTGCCTACAAAGGCCCTTCTGAGAGGAAACCTCACTGAAGAAAACTAAGTCTTGATACTGGGTGGCCTAATATACAAGATAGCATCTTTCTTTACCCAGTTAACTGCTTGCAAAATACTCATGTTATGCTGACAGGACCCAGCTTGATGGCTTCCCACTGGTGAAATCTGAGGCAATTTGAGTATCAAAATACATGATAGTATGCCCTGGCCAGTTTGGCTCAGCGGTTAGAGCGTCGGCCTGTGGTCCTGAGAGACCCGGGTTCGGTTCCCGCTAAGGGCGTGTACCTCGGTTGCAGTTTGTCCCCGGCCCTGGTCGGTTGTGCGGGTGGCAGCCACTCGATGTGTTCCTTTCACATCGGTGTTTCTCTCTCTCTCTCTCTGTTCTTCTCTCTCCCTCCCACTCTACCTGAACAAAAAATGGAAAAATGTCCTCGGGTGAGGATAAAAAAAAGAAAAAAATACATGATAGTATAAGCCACTGTAAAGCAAGAATGCTTGAATCCATACTAATGTGAATGAATAAATAAATGCAGAGATAGGAAAGTTGTTCTCTATAGAATATAAATATATTTAAAATATATATACGAACTATAGAAGGTATAATGGAGTTACAAAATCACCAATGGATGCTAAAACTATGGGTGAATTTTGATGACAAACAGTATACTTATACAGCATCTCCCTACATGTTACTTATATTTACAAAGAGGAAAATAGTAAATTCACAGTGGAGAACAAGGCAGCTACCACCTTAACCAAATGAGCAAAGCCAACTGCACCAGTTGAGACAAATCATTACATGTCCTTTCTCTCCCCACTATTATACACTGGGAAGGACACTGCATTGCTTCATGGCATTCCTGCCAAAAAATGTGAAACTTAAAATTTAATCACAAAACATCAGACAAACCCAAGTTGAGGGACTTTCTACAAATTAACTAGCCTGTACTCTTCGAAAATGTCAGTCTAGAAAGACAAAGAAAGGCTTAGGGACTGTTTCAGACAAAAGGAGACGGAGACATGACAACTAAATGCAGTGTAGAGGGGAAGCTGTGAAGATAATTGGAGCAGTCATGTAATCATATTATAGTCATATAAGAGAATGTCCTTGTTCTTCTTAGGAAATACATACTGGATTATTTAGGGGTAATAGTCCAGGAAAAAAAAAAGGCTGTGTGTATGTACAAAGAGATAAAGATGGAAAATGATATAACAAATGTTAAAATTGCTTAAGGACTTCTCCGTACTATTGTTCCAATTTTTTGTAACTTTGATATCAAAATTAAATGTTACAATGCTTCAATGTTGGCAAAATTCATCTCTTTCAGAGTCTGAGATACCATCCAAATTCAGTTATTCAAGTTTCTTGTTCCAGAGCAATTAGCAATTTGGATACTACATTTCCCCTAATATTAAAAATAGGCACTATGAAATAAAACCTCTAATTGGTGATAAAAGTACAAAATTTTAATCAGTATTTATATACAGTCTTCCTTAATGTTTTTATGAGTTTCTAATTCTATCACCTTCTTAACTCTAAGAGAAAGACCCTTAATTTTGGGGAAATTTTTATTATACAAATATTCAAAGGATGGGAATTCACGTGTCAGGCAAGAATACAGCCTAGCTATGATGAACTGCTAACATTAAATTTTAAATATTTTGTTTAAAATTCCACTTAGGGAACAGTGCTTGCAATTTAGAGAATTTCGAAGTCTAGAACTCTTGTCTTCTGTCCCCGATCCTGCTGTCTTCAGTGTTATGCTAAGTGGGTCATTTTCCAGGTCAACGATTCTGATCCTGACGCTGTTACAAAACAAACGGTTAGTCTCATGGTGCACTGGTCAGCATCTGTTCATTTGCTGATCATTTTTGAACATTGGTTCTTGGCAGAATGTGGAATCGGATATTGGAGCAGGGCTTTGCTGCCAAAAAGCTCATCTGATTGACTACTTGTGAGGGCTAAAGGGCCTGTGGAAGATCATCCAATCAATGCCATCATTTTGTTCCGTGTGATGCTTTCTTCTTCTATTTAAACCTGAAAACATGCAGTTATAGTAGGAAGAGCCCTAGCTCAGCTATAAGGACCCCTGGGTTCTAGGCCAAAGCAGCCACTGGTGTATTGTATAAGCTCGATCAAAGCTCCTCTCTATGCCAGTTTCCTTCCCCATGATACACGGAGACTGCTGGGCTGTGGACCAGCCTTTCTCCAGGTGTGCAGTTGGACATGCGAAACCTGACTTGTTCCCTTCCCCCAATCCCCATCAGTTCAACTTTCTTCTCTCAGGATCCACCCCATTCTCTTCCCACCGGAAATCCTCCAGTACCCACAGTACCGTTAACTGGTCTTCCCTCCTCAGCTGCGCCCACCACTCCCCTCTCCCTCCCTCCACTACCATTCATTCTTCATAAAAGCTGCCCAGGGCTCATTTCTTTCATGAAAATATGATCACGTCCCTCCCTTCTTGTCTTCACCAGCGCCCTACTGACATAATTAACACCTGAGCCCCTAGCCTGCAGACTCAACCCCTACACTCCACAGCCGCCCCTTTGTTCTAGCTTTGGTCTTCGCTCCTTCTCGCTGGAGGAGCCGCATCTTCCTTCTGTTTACTTATCCATCTTCCCCACAGTAAACTTCTTGAGGGCAGAGATTTTTTCAAAATCAAATTCCTACAGCAAGGACCTGGCATGGTGCCTGGCAATGAAAGCAGACTCATTAAATAAAAACTCAGATTAGTCATTAGCACTTAATTTTAATTAAAATGAACAGTTTAGATGAAGAGCAGACTAGAATAGTGTTTAAAACGAACTTCTGAAAAATCACATTTAAATCAAAGAAATAAAACAGGCCAGAAGTCGAAACAAAGGTGCAGCTTGTATTATTGCACTTGAATAAAACACACTGTTTGGGGGGCATCATCTGCTGTTTGGGGGAGCATCATCCATAGGCCACAAGAGGCTCGGGGGGGGGGCACACAGAGGACAAACCCGCAGGGGGTCTTTATTCTGGATTCCAAACTCCCCAGTGGCCGCAAGCCGGAGCTCCTTACCCCAAGGACTGCTGCGTCTTTGACACGTTTTAGCTGCAGGGACCTTCGTCGTTCCAGTTCTTACAGTTTAAGGTGCGGCTGTAGCTCACATGAAGGGCCACCTGTTCCACCAACAGCACCCGGAGCCCGGGCCACGGAGAGTGGGGAAGGCAGTGAATTTCTACTGGACACAATTTTAGGGGCCCGAACTGTGGCTGTAGTTTACTTTCAAGCATTCTTCATTTTGGTCATTTATGTCAGAACAGGAGAAAAAGTGACAGAGGACGAATCAGCACTGAAGCAATTCCTAAGCTATTAGTAGAAAATAAAATTTAAATTTAAAAAGTCCCCAGCCACATTCTTGAAGTGGCATGACTGGATGCATAAGAAAAAGGCTGTAAACTTATAGAAAAGATAAACTCTGACTTCTAAACAAATTACAAAATTGATTTTGCCCTTCCCTTGAGTGTTATACAGAAAAATGTAAACCAGTGGACCTAGTTACCAAAAATGCTTCTCCTCCTCAGCTGAGGAACGGCCTTAAAGTTTGGACTGAGCTAGTTTGATCTTCAAGTTTTCTCCGAGTTTGTCCATGAACTCAAACGTATTCAAGTAGTCAGAACGCTGCACGCTGATAGAGGAAGGAAAGAAGATAATTTATCGTTGGTCTCTGATCCGTAGCAGGCAGAAGGAAAGTTCTAGAAATGCTCAAGGAGCATTCTATTTATTTCTAGAAGAAAACTGATTAACATTAACAAGCTACAAGTGTTGGGGCTGATGACTGTGCTCAGGTTCAAGGGGTGACCCAGGCTACAGGCAGCTTGCGTCTGGGCCCCACACACGTTCATAGCAGGTTCTCTGCCACGTGGCTTGGAAGGTGAAACTATCTCAGAGCTTCAGTTTAGACTAATGCCTGGGAGACTGAAATCATCCTCTTATTCCTCCTTCTTACAAAAAACCAAAATCTATTCTGGGTATGCCTTGCTTTTACCCACATCCCCACAAACTGTCGTATGTCCATAAAAAAGTTTTAATGATCTTATTTCTGTAAGTGTCTTACTTAAAAACAAAAAAGACAGTGGGTTTGCTAATATAATCCTGCTGATAGGTGCCTATTCAAATAGGCTACAAAGGTACCATACAAATAAGGACATTTTAAGCACGCATTTTTGCTGGAAATTGAAGATAAGAACGATGTAGTGATTGAGTATATCCTGGGGTATACTGACCCTGAGATGTCTCAAGACACATAGTTGGGACATGGGTTTGATGTTAAATTTTAGGGGTGTTCCTGGAGGTGAATCAGAGTAAACAGCTCTGACTTTGAGGGTGGAGTCTGATTAGCAGCTAATCCAGCTGGGATACGAGTTACCATGTTCTTAGACAAACCCTGGGCAATTCATGGACCCTCAACTATCTGAATACTGGTTACAGATACTTAAGGAAGGGACTATAACCAACTTGGCATCTAATACTTGTGCTGTTTAATTTTTTTATCTGTAAAGTTAAAAAAAGAGAGGGGTGAAATAAAATAACATCGTGGGTCACTTTGTTTCTGTCTACAACTTTCTTTCCTTTTTTTTATTTAAATTTATTATTTTATCCTCACCCAAGACATTTTTCCAGTTTTTGTTCAGGAAGAGTGGGAAGGAGAGAGGGGAAGAGAGAGAGAGAGAGATAGAAACATCGATGTGAAAGGGACACATCAAGTAGCTGCCACCTGCATGACCAACCAGGGTCGGGGACAAACTGCAACCAAGGTACGTGCCCTTAGTGGGAACCAAACCTGGGTCTCTTGGACCGCAGGCCAATGCTCTAACCTGAGCCAAACCGGCCAGGGCTACAATTTTCTTGTTAAACTAAATGGAACCTTGCCCTGGCCAGTGTGGCTCAGTGAATTGAGCATCAGACCAAGGACTGAAGGGTCAAGGGCTTGATTCCCAGTCAAGGGCATGTACTGGGTTGCAGGTTTGATCCCTAGTCAGGGTGCATTTGGGAAGCAGCCGATTGCTGTATCTCTCACATAGATGTTTCTCTCTCTTTCTTTCCCACCCTCCTTCCACTCTCTCTAAAAATCAATGGAAAAAATATTCTCTGGTGAGGATTAACCAAACAACAACAACAACAACAAAAACTAAATGGAACCTTGTCACCCAGTGATTGTCAACTAGGTCAGGGGTCAGCAGACTACAGCTTGGCCCATGGACCCAGTCCAGGCTGCAGCCTAGTTTGTACATAGTCTGATTAAAATGCTGCTGTATCCATTAGCTAGAAGCTAATTATCTACGATGATTTTCAGGCCAGAGAGACAAAGTTCAATAGTTGCTTAGTTTTGAAAAGGCTGTATATTCCACAGAGCCTGTAATGTTTATTATCTGACAATTTACAGATTGTGTATGCTGACCCCTGCACTAGATGATGAATAACAAATTCATGTACTTCCAAAAGCACTGATATTTTGATCCCACTGAGGATAAGTGGCAATCTGACCACAGAGCTCATGGCGTCTTATACTTACTTGGGTAAACCTTTAATGCAAGCAGCCAAGTCCTTGGTCATGAAGCCAGCCTCGATGGTCTCAATACAGACTTCTTCCAATGCCTTTGCAAAGAAGCCAAGCTCTTTGTTGTTATCAAGCTTAGCTCTGTGGGCTAACCCTCTGGACCAGGCAAAAATGGAAGCTAAAAGAGAGAGAACCAAACAAACAAACACACTTCAATCAGACCAGCTAGGCATGTTTCCAAATGTTTCAGTTCCCAAAATAGAACATTTAAAAAAAATTTTTTTCCTTTATTGATTTTAGAGAGAGGAAGGGAGAGGGAGAGGGAGATAGAAACATTGATGAGAGAGAACATCAATTGGCTGCCTCCTGCACACCCCCCACTGGGGATCGGGCCCACAACCTGGGCTTAAGCCCTGACCGGGAATCGAACTGGCGACCTCTTGGTGCATGGGTCGATGCTCAACCACTAAGCCACACCGGCCGGGCAAAAAATAGAACATTTTTTATTTAGGCGACTGACTTCATCAGATGCTATCCACATGCACTCTAAATTTTAGGCAAGTTGGAAATATTTTACTTAATAAAAACTTAAAAATCTATGTTCTTGTAAATGGAATGTTTTGGGTTTTGTAGAGCTTCAAGGAAGCAGGAGGCACATTTTCATAGTGTGAAGTAGCACTTGAAGCCTAAGGAATTTACTATTTGTAAAAGGTCACAATCTCTTCTATCTTTTGTCTGTATTGATCTCCCCTCCTCTTCCCAGGCTGTAATCTCTCTTTTTTCCCAATTCTCACCCGAGGAAATATTTAGAGAGGGAGAGGGGGAAGAGCAGGGGGAGGGGGAGAAGAAGAGAGAAAGCAAGACATCAATGTGAGAGAGAAACATCGATCAGTCGCCTCCTGTACATGCCGTCGGATGGAACCCGAAATCTTTTGGTGTACGGACAACACTCCAACCGAGCCACGCGGCCAGGGTTGTGATCTCTTTCTAATGTGCTGTCCTTGAAGCCAGGTGGGAAGGATCTATTCGTGTGGCTCTTGGATTCTTAGCCATGTATGACATTTCACTGCCCCAGAGGAAAAGGAACATGCTGTGGATAACATTCTCCTCGGTACTGTGTACTGTTCCACCAACTTGAAAAGCATATATAGCCCTGGCTGGTTTGGCTCGGTAGTTAGAGTGTCAGCCCCACAGACCAATGAGTCACAGGTTCGATTCCGGTCAAGGGCACGCACCTCGGTTGTGGTTCATCCCCAGCCCTGGTCGGGGGTGGGGGGGTGGGGAGGAGGCAACCAGTTGATGTGTCCCTCTCACTTGATGTTTCTCTCTCTCTCCCTCTAACTCTATCTGAAAATAAAATGAAAAAATATCCTCAGATAAGAATTAAAAAAAAAAAAAAGCATATATAGTGTATATTTTCAGAAGCATATTAAAATAGCTCTTATTGTGGACCAAACTGGCTGTGTGGTGGTAATTTTACACACAGAGCATCTGGTAGCCAAAGGAGCACGTCTGGGTCTCTTTCTGAGACCTCCACTCTCTGGCTGCACATCAGTGTAGCAGGAAAACACAACTTTACCAATGGGATTGGTAGATGTCTCCTGTCCCTTCTGGTACATGCGGTAGTGACGTGTTACAGTCCCGTGGGCGGCCTCTGCTTCCACTGTCTTGCCATCAGGACAAATCAGCACGCTGGTCATCATGCCAAGGGAGCCGTAACCTACAAGTGGCAGAGCAAGTATTGGCTTCAGTCGCCTGGAGAGCACTGGGTCTCGCAGGGATGAGTAAGTGACTTAATCTTCACGGTAAACCAAACAAACAATAATCCTTCCTTTTCCTCTTACTGACCTCAGAGCACCTGCTCCCTGATGAAGGGCTCAGGGTCTGACTGCCTGCATTCCACCCTAGTTCTATGACTTTCTGGCTACTGTGGCTCAGTTTTCTTACCTATGAAATGGAAATAAAATAGCTCCTTAATTGGCCTGTTGTGAGAATTAGATGAATACACATATATTCATGAATAAACATGTGAAGTTTATTCCTTAGAACAGCACCTGCCACAGAGTATAAGAGCTAGTACGTTACTGATATTCTTATGTGCAGATGCTTCACTGTTCTGGAAAAACAAAGACTGGCCAGTTGTCTTATGTCTTCAAGCTGCTCACAGACCCATGGGCCTGGTAAGAAAAGGCAGGTTCAAGACAGAAAGGGATAGACCCAGGAACATCCCACTTGCCCCAGTCTCTTTAACAGCCCCACCAAAATAACTGTATTCTGTGGTTTCCTATTCAGGAAACCTTACTGCAACTTTTAATCCATGCAACTGATTTTTCTTCTTTCATTACTCTTGATTTCAAAGAACATGTTTCTTAGTTTTGCTATCTCCCAAAAGCACCTGCGGAGTTAATGCACACTTATAATAGGTTGTTACTTTATTTTTTGGTTAAAAAACATAAACCATTTTCAAACTCATCTCTGAAATTTCTGGGTGGGAGCCCAGCCAGTGTAGCTCACTCGTTGAGCATTGACCCATGCATCAAGAGGTTGCTGGTTCGATTCATGGTCAAGGCAGTAAAAAAAAGAAAAAAAAAAGAAAAAAGAAATTTCCGGGTGGTGTTACGAGTTCTTTTCATGTCAATGTGTTGGTCTGAAGCTTTAGCAAATTCTCAAATATTTATTGATTGGAGACGTGCAGGATCTGTCACTCTCCATGGTGAGTTTGTCTAGGCATTAGTGCTAGGAAACACTGGTTGATACTACTGTCAAAATAGAAGCCATAAGTGAAATGTTTGGTGTGCGTCCAAAGTAGTTCATGCCTCTGGAGAAGAATAACGTGAAGACAGCTCAGCTGCCTTTTAATCTGTTTAGTGCCCTGAGATCACAGGTATCCATAGGCCCTGGCCAGACAGCCTGGTTCCAGGTAGCTTAGCAGCGTGCTCCTGGACACAACCCTTCAGAACGCCTATTTCAAAGTCCTTTGAACCTCTATAACTTTGCCGGAGTTATACTATCTTCTTGTTGCTATGAGGACATTTGGAAATGATGGAATGGTTTGGGTCCCTTACCAAGAGCTCTGATTACAAGGAGGTTCCCCCTACCCACCATGAAGCCATCACAAACCAACACTCCTTCCTACTGCATCAGTCAGCGCAACAGGAGAGCAGAGTGTGTAACCAGTCATCTGACATCAAAGTGATCTCCCGGTTGACCTACTGATTTTAAAACTGATTAAGAGATGCTTACTGTTCTCATAAGAAAAAATAGTACTTCCTGGGAAAACCAAACATAATTAAAGTGGACACATTCATCAGGGGAGTTTAAAGTTGACATAGCTGCCATGGTAACCGAAACTGAAGGGCAACTTGGTGCTGAGGAAGTCAAGGGAAGGAGAGGTTCTACTAATTACACTGGACATGCAGCCCCTGGTCTCTGAATTTCTATGAACAGCCGGGGCTTCTCTGCTCCATTCCTTTGTGTTTACAGCTAAGCAGTGAACATGTTTTATAGTATCAGAACAGCCTTCAGGGCTGGCAGCGAGGACATGTTGATTCCTGCTGCCAGGGAATGAGCTCTTGGATTTCTTTTCAACTCTTTGTTTGGCTGCTGTGCTCGCTGATACTGATCGATGTCGAGAAATGAGGAATCCTGTCTAGTGTCTGTTTTTCATGCAGTGGCCTATTCATTTATGTATCATCAATACCTTCACTTTAAGGGTTGTTAATGAGTCAAGATGGTTGTTTAAGCTCAGTAAAGAGGGAAGTGTTCTGGGTAAGAAGCTGAAGACTGGGATCTCACACGCAGCTGTTTCTCACTGGACATGTACCTCTACAATTACTGAACCTCTGGCTTTAGTTTCTTCACGTGAGAGAAGGGAGAGAAAGACAAGAATAAAAGGAGAAAGAAATAAAAAGGCAGGGAGAGAAACAGAAAGGAAGAAAAAGAGAAAGCAGTTGGTCTAGGTGAGTGATTTCAAAGTTCCCTTCTAGCCTCCAGTTTCATGTTGCAAAAATAAGAAAAAAGGAATGAACTCTTGGTTGTTAGACGGCTCAGGCCCCGACCCTTACCCGTTCCTGGCCGAGTGACCTAGTTTTCCACTTTTTCAGAGGGGAAATAAAGGCAGGGAAAGGGAGTGATTTTCAGATGAGGCAGTTGGGCTGACGCTGGAGGCACTGAAAGTTCAAGTGGGGAAAAGGTTGAAAGATAAAGTGTTAACACATCCGAGGCTGGAGCCAGGAGTCTCACCCACTGGGTTACCTCCTGTGTGACCCGACGGAGTAGCTTCCCCAGTCAGAGCTTAACGTCTGCATCCGGCAGCTGAGCAGATGGACCCAGATGCCTTGTAGCACTAACATTTCTTTACAAAGGGCTGCAGAATCCTCCCTAAACCTGAAAACCACTGTGGCATCAACCACTTGCTGCAGGACTGGCTCCAACTCTACTGGTCCTCCGGCTCCTTACCCTGGGCCACGGAGTCCGACTGTACATCACCATCGTAGTTCTTACAGGCCCAGATGAAGCCGCCCTCCGACTTCATAGCTTGGGCCACCATGTCATCGATGAGCCTATGCTCATACCAGATCTTCTGGGCTTCAAACTGGGATTTGTACTGCCTAAGAAAGGAAAGAACAAAAAAGAGAGGAAAATCGGTTTTGTTAGGGACATCACATGCTTCTCCAAAGGGGAAGTTTTAGGGGGGCTGGAAGCAGCATTTTTAGTAGAAGCAGCACCAACTTGGGAATCAGACACATGGGATCGAACCCCTGCCCAGTCCTCCCCTGGCTGTGCAACCCCAAAGCCCCATCTGCAGGGTGATTTCACCCACTCCGGAGATGCGAATGGAGCAAGACAGCAGTTTCCTGAGTTCCACGTTTACAGTTTTCAATGCACTACTGGTCAGATTCTGGAGCCTCAGCTTACTTTAAGACTGTAATAAGGGGAAAAAAGACTATTCTACTGCTTGATATCACTCAGGAACCTAGGGCAGCTTCCAGGCTTAGGTGATGGGGGAATGCGAAGAGAAATTAAAGCGCCTCACGAGGGAGATCGAATATCGGGGCCCCGGCCCGAACACCTCACCTAAAAGGGAGTGAGGCTGTCTTAAACGGTAACCCGTGCTCACTTGTCGAATCCACAGTTGTTATAAATGTGGACTTCAGTTCAAGAGACCACATTAGAGCAGAGTTTTAAATCATAGCGATGGGTGTCAGGAAGAGAAATGCGCCCCACTCAGAAACTCATGCTTGAAAAATTAGAACTTTCTATCACTAACAAGGCACTTTTCTTCAAACAATACACACTTCTGGCTCTAAAAAAAAATAAATGCGGGGCCCCTATTTGAGAACACATTTACCTTCGAAAAGCAACTTAGAGTGATTCTGTTTCACTCCTACTAAATCTGTGTTGCTCTTGTCTTTACGGGAGAGTGATGCTGTTCACTCAATTTGTCTCAGAACCAAAGGGATGAGGGTGCAGAGTCTGTGCTACAGATACCAGCGTGAGGAAAAGGAAGGAAAAAAGAACTGTAGTTACTTGTCATATATCTCCTGGAAGATGTCTTTAAAACGCCCATCATATTTCTTCAGAATAGTGTTCTTGGTGCTCAGATACAAAGGCCAACTCTTAGACAGAGCCATCTGGAAAGAACTGTGTGCAAAATCTTTGATCGACTTATCTTGATTGTACATCCCCATGGCAACACCACCACCCTCTGTGGGGGGACACCAATGAGAGAAAAAGAGATAGGTAAATAGGGTATAGTTGTAACAAGTTTAAATCCATCCACCATCACCAAACCACCCAATTCCCAGCTCCCATATCTGAGCCGTCTTTAAAAAGTCACAGCCAGGCCCTGGCCGGTTTTGCTCAATGGTTAGAGCGTCGGCCCGCAGACCGGAGAGTCCCGGGTTTGGTTCCTGCTGGGGGCACCTGCCTCTGTTGCGGTTTGTCCCCAGTCCTAGATAGGGTCGTGTGGGTGGCAGCTGGTCGATGTGTCTCTCTCATATCGATGTTTCTCTCTCTCTCCCTTCCACTCTCCCTCCCGGCTCTATTTGAAGATAAATGCAAAAAGTGTCCTCGGGTGAGGATAAAAAAAATAAAAATAGAATTAAAAAGTCACAGATAGGCTTCCAGCTTGAATATTCCATGAGTTCTAGAGGCACACAATAGGAGTAAAGTCAGTTCTAGTTAAGGACATTCTAACTTGTTTTGAAAGGTCAATAATTATGAGAAAAATATGTTTTTTAGGATCCTGTAGATACCAAAACCTACTGATATGAAGCACAAATATGCTCAAGAAAGGGTGAATAATTTTGAAACTGTTTTTTTCATATGTTTAAATTTTCCAATGTATTTTAAACTCTTAAGTGTGTACTCAATCCCCAACCAGAGAAGGAATATTCTCGTAATTCTCTGGAGGGTACTGAAAGTTCACTGTCACTGGTGGCAAAACTAATGCTACATGTGATCACTGGTGTTTCACAACTCTTGTTAAACTCTGTTTTTACTGAAAGATAGAACTTGAATCCATGCCTGTCCAGGGCCAACTTGGGCTCCGAATATGAAAGGTGCTGAAAATGGCAGAATTCGATTCCATTAAAATGACAAGACTTATGGACATGGAGAGCAGACTGACAGCTGTCAGGAGAGGAGGGCTGGGGGCTGGGTGAGAAGGGCGACGGATTAAAAAACTAAAAGACAGAAAGACCAAGGGACACAGACAACAGTATGGTGATTGCCAGAAGGAAGGAGGGGGGGTGGTAGAAAAGGTAAAGGGGGATAAATAGTGATGAAAGGAGATTTAACTTGGGGTGGTGAACACACAATACAATATACAGATGATGTATTGTAGAATGGTACCCCTGAAATCTGTATAATTTTATTAACCAGTGTCATCCCCAATAAATTCAGTTAAAAATGATATTTAAAGACGTTAAGGAGAAAAAAACGTAATTTTTGAGTGCTTTTAATAATTTCAATAGTGGAGAAGGTCCCCTGTTTTGAGTGAAATTTGCCAAAATGGACCTTTGCAAGCAGAATGGTGGGTAAAAAAAGGCAAAAAACAAATGTTCCACTTCCACAGATGGGCAAGAAGAACATTTCAGCAAATATATAACACAACCAATACTTAGCACAAACCCACCAGAGCAAAGATGAGGATTACATGACAGGTGATTTGGGGCTAGTAATGTTTAATTGATGTAATTCGTGCACAAGATTCCTGCCAACCATCCCTTCGTGTTTTAAGAGAAATGCCTATTTATCAACCCATCTTTGCTTATTTATATCAGTGATTCTCAACCTTCCTAATGCCGCAACCCTTTAATACAGTTCCTCATGTTGTATGTGGGCGTATCTGCATGTGGGCGGACCCGCCTGGAGACGGATAGAGCAGCGGTGTCTCGGTTCCTAAGACCATCGGAAATATGTGTTTTCCGATGGTCTTAGGTGACCCCTGTGAAAGGGTTGTTCGACCCCCAAAGGGGTCGCTACCCACAGGTTGAGAACCGCTGGCTTATATGCACTGCCAATTGAGTAGCTAATCCCATTTGTGCCTTTATCCATGCCACAGGACGGCATGAAAGCCAATGACTTTTTTCATCCTCACCTGAGGACATTTTTGCATTTATCTTCAGATAGAGCGGGAAGGAGACAGGAAGGAAGAGAGAGAGCGAAACACTGATGTGAGAGAGACACACATCCAGCAGTTGCCACCCATACGACCTCATCTGGGGCCAGGGACAAGCTGCAACCAAGGTACGTGCCCTTTTCGGGAACCAAACCAGGGATTCTCTGGTCCATGGGCCAATGACTTTTTTATTTAGACTTTAGGTCCCGTAGTAAAGTTGTAGATTTGGGTTGTACTTTTAGGCAGCCACCCAACTAAATTTAAACAATCAGGAACAATGTTGTCTAAATGATCTGTAAAAAAATGATCATGATAAACTTTAATCACATACCTTCAAAGTTATGTACCAGGTACGTCTTCTTTTGGGATCCATCACTTGGTGTGTAGGTTATCTCTACTTTGCCAGGCCCAGGAACAACAAAATCAGTTGCTCTGTACTGTACATTGGGGGTAGGGGGGAAGGTAAAGCATTAAAAAAACTATTCCAACTGGTATTACAAAGAATGGGGAAAAAAATCACAGAACAGAGCTGGAAGACACCTAGACAAACAGGGCAGTGTCGTTTGACCTTTTATTTTAGAGATGGAGATGATGAGGTCCAGAGTCCCAAAAGCTAATTAGTGGTACTGCATGTTAAAAATCAGTCTTTATTGGGTGCCTACTGTGCAGAGCAGTTTTCTGAGCACAGATATGGAGAGGACAGAGTTAACAAAATATTTTCACTTAGGAAGCTTATGACCCAAGAAAGACATACAAAAGTGGAAAGCAACAGAAAAGCTTTTAAACATACTAAGTGGGCCTAGAAAACAATGTATAGGACGGCAGAGGAAGAGAGATGACGTGACCTGGAGGTCAAGAAAGTCTTCCAATAGGGAGGTGATAATATACTAGCTGTAGTATTGAAGATGACAAAGAAAGAGCTAATGCCTTGTCCTCACTATAGGACAGATGCTTATAGTGATTAACTAGCATCATCTTATTTATCTCATTTGATTCTTACATCTATCTTACAAGGAAGGAACTGTGATGCTGTGGAAACAATGCATCTCGGATGAAAAGACTTGGGATCTGGTCCTTCGACCTGCAGAGCTGAGGCTCTTTGTGATTATTATCACTGCTAATGCCCGGCCCAAGACTGGTCCATAAGAAGCAACCATTCTGGAAGCGGCTGTGACAGGTTGGTGACCCTTAGGACGGGGCCATCCAAGGAGAGCCACCTCTCTCCGGGGCGTGAAGCTACGCTGGTGGGAAAATGTGCCCCACCCGCACTAGCATTGGTTCACATCTGCTGCACTGCACCTTCTTCAGGGACATAGAGAAGACCACGTTCAGAGCCAGGTGCCAGCAGGTGGTTGGTGTAGGGCAATACTAATGACAGCTGGTCGAAGAGCTGTCAGGTTGTGATCCAGGTTCAATGTCTAGTCTATGCAGAACATATAAAATTCTTTACTACGGCAACTGATTCCCGGTTCTCAAAATGAAGAAACTGAGGCACCAAAGCACCACACATGCTTTGTAGATGTTCAAATGATCAGGGAATCAACCACAGCTTGGCTCTTTGTCATCTTCATTGTCAATCTGGACTTTAATAAATAGAATGAGCATTCTTCCGAGTGACTGATGCCAAAATAATAATAATAATAATAATAATGATAAAATAGCCAAAAAATGACACCACTCAACTCAGAAGAACTTAGAGTGGTGTTCTCAGAATAGGAATTTGTAGTACTCCCATCTACTCTCTCTTGGGCCTCTGGGACATACCCATGAAGAGACTGAACAGGATGAAGGCATAGTTTGGGCCACAGAACAAAAGGGAATTACCCTTCAAGGACTGACCTGGTGACCTTGTTCCCAGGAACAGATGTGGTCTGCCCTGGTCAGACTGTTTTTAAGGTCAGCTACATACATCAAATCTGTGGGTTTCAGAAGTAGGGTCTTTTGTTTTTCAGGGTCTTGTATGACATAAGCTGCTTTCTATGAAAGTCTGAATACTTCAGTTTCAACATGAGATTATGATTTTGTTTAGTTGGCTGGTTTTCTGTGTAATTTGGCAACCAGTATACCTGTACAAGTACAAAAACTAAACTTTCTTTTCCAAGAAGGAAAGAACAGGTTTAAAGCAACTATTTTCAACTACTGAGTCCATTTTTCCTTTTATGTATGAAGTGATCACTTTTCATATAACCTTTGGTGGTTCTCAACCCTGCCTGCCCATTAGAATCACTTAGGGAGCAGTAAAATGTCTGAATCCCATGAATTCAGATTCAGCTGGTGTAGGGTGGGTCCCAAGCATTGGAATTAAAACAAAACAACACATTGAAAAAAAAGGCAAAATAAAAGAAACATCCAAAAAACCGATAAAGGCATCCTTTTAGAGCCAGGGTTGAGTACTACTGATTTGGTTGAAGCACAGGAAATTATCTATACAAAAATGTTAATATTATATGGTTTAACTTAATAAAAAGATAAAGGAAGAAAAAAAAAACACATAGAGAAAAGTCATTTGTGTTGAGATAGATAGATGCCTATCTGTGAGTCCTCCTGTATTTACTTCTTTCTAAATGTGTAAATATACAGATATACATATATGCATTTCTCAACATTTTTCAAATGTGAGCTTTGTTTAATGGGAGTAGTCACCAAAACAATAAAACACATGTAAATCAAAACTGCTGGCAGCCAAAGGCCATAAAGAAAGAATGGAAACTCAAATTATGCCAACATGACTTACTTGATCCCCATACGCATGACGACCTATGATGATGGGCTTCACCCATCCGGTCACAAGCCGGGGGATATTTTTGCAGATAATAGCTTCCCTGAAGACGGTACCACCCAGAATATTTCGGATGGTACCATTTGGCGATTTCCACATTTGTTTCAACTTGAACTCCTCAACCCTCTTCTCATCGGGGGTGATGGTGGCACATTTGACACCAACGTTGTACTTCTTTATAGCTTCTGCGGCATCCTTGGTGACCTGGTCATTGGTGGCATCACGATTCTCTATGCCTAAATCATAGCTGGGAGGGAGAAATCATAAGCGGAACTTGCCAAATTGACAGGCGACTGAGGCTGCTACCATTCTATCATCATCTCTGCACAGAGAGCTTGCCCTGCAGTAAGCGAAGGCTCTCAATATACCTACATCTGCCAAGTTTCAGCATTAATGCGCCCTAGACACAGATGACGGTGCCGGCTAAAAAGGCACTGAGGCTGGACTGCTGGGCCTCGGCTCCCTGTGCTGCAGTGGGAAGTCTCTGAAGGAGACTGAATCGAAACCCTCGTGCTTTGCGCCTTTGCCTGCTTTCACCATCCAGAGACAATAACAGTGCTGGAGCAACCCTTTGACAGACTTCCATACAATCAACATAAAAATGCAAGTCTAGCCCTGGCCGGTTTGGCTCAGCAGTTAGAGCGTCGCCCTGCAGTCCAGAGAGACCCGGGTTCGGTTCCTGCTAAGGGCATGTACCTTGGTTGCAGTTTGTCCCCGGCCCTGGTTGGTCGTGCAGGTGGCAGCAACTCAATGTGTCCCTTTCACGTCGATGTTTCTCTCTCTCTCTCTTTCCCTCCCGCTCTATCTGAACAAAAAATGGAAAAAAATGTCCTCGGGTGAGGATTAAAAAAAAAAAAAAGCAAGTCTAAGCACCACCTCATTTTTTTCCTTAGTAAATATTGTGCTCTAAAAATAAATAGGCCAGAGAGTTAGAAATTTTTTTTTCTTGTATTTTGACATTAAAGTAGTGGGAGTCATAGATGTGACATTCATGCCAAAAATGCTAATGGATCCTTCATCAATGTCAGTTAGTTCTATGATGAACCTTTCCCTAATTCTTGGGCAAGTCTCACTGTTCTGGACACAAGCCTGCAGTTTACTGGATAAGTAATGGAATCAAACAAGTTTTATGGACCCAGAGCTACAGTTTAATCTACACCAACGCCCAGACTGCAAGTCATTCAGAGCTGAAAAGAACTTTGGTAGTTCACAGAGCACAGACAATGATTGTAACGCTTTATCTAAAATATGAAATAGTTTGTCGAAAACATTAGTGTGACTATTTTGCTCTCCATGTTTTAAAAAATGTTTTTCAGCTTTCGTAACTTGCTGAACCATGAAGCCTGTAGATTTCCCTCTAGTTCTTGTATTTCCTTTCCTTATTTACCCCAACTCATGATGCAAATGTAAAGGTAACAATCTTCATGTGTTTCCAAATAAAAAGAATTCCAGACTGCTTTAACCTTAGCTAATTCACTAAGGGTAACCGAGCACTGACTCTCTTATCTCCTGGCTCAGGAAATGCTGAGTATCTGCAAACATCTACTCCTAACTCAAACAAGAAGTACAGCCAACAGTTTTTAATGTTCATAGGAACTATTTTCATCAGGAGAGACAAGCAGAAAATTCGTGGATTTTTATTTTTATTTTTTGCTTTTCTTCCTAACACTTCTAAGAGAAAAGAAGGCATAAAGGGCCTGGACCACCGTCCAGCGTGCACAAGACAAACACACTGCTCCACTCCCCTCAAAATGTCATGTAACAGTATCAATGTTAGAACAATTTAAAACTTGATTGAGTCCCCAAAAATGTTTTTGTTCTGCTGCCAGTGACAGCTTTTTCTAGGCCTAAGGACTGTCCTTTAAAACTTCTATGTCTCGCCCTGGCCAGTTTGGCTCAGCGGTTAGAGCGTCAGCCTGCGGTTCAGAGAGACCCGGGTTCGGTTCCCGCTAAGGGCACGTACTTCGGTTGCAGTTTGTCCCCGGCCCTGGTTGGTCGTGCGGGTGGCAGCCACTCGATGTGTCCCTTCACATCGATGTTTCTCGCTCTCTCTCCCTTCCTCTCTCTCCCTCCCACTCTATCTGTACAAAAAATGGAAAAATATCCTCGGGTGAGGATAAAAAAATAAATAAATAAATAAATAAAAATAAAACTTCTATGTCTCTAGGCTTCAGAGACTCAGAGCATCTTTATAGCTATTCTACTGGCAAGAACTCTGCAGACTTACCTATTGCCTTCTAAAGTTCTGAAACAGGAGAGTGCTGGTAAAAATGCTTCTTTAACCTACTTGGATGATGCTTTTTTAAAAAAAAAATGTTATTACTGATTTTTTTTAGAGACAGGGGAAGTGAGATATAGAAACATTGATGTGAAAGATACATGGATTGGCTGCCTCCTCATAGCACCTACTGGGGATCAACCTTGCAACCCAGGCATGTCCTCTAACCAGGAATCGAACTAGGACCTCTCAGTCCATGGGATGACGCTCAATCCACTGAGCCACACCAGCCAGGCTGGATGATGCTGTATTTCCTGTATGTTTTGTTGACCTCTGCAGGTATTTGCTCTTTCTCATGGTTGCAATAGAGTTATTATCAACAGTTTAATCTTAGAATAATTAAAAAGGGTGTCTCATGACACTACGTTAATTGAATGTCTACACCCAAGCAACCATAACGGGTCCTCAGGACACAGTCTGATGCATAATTCTGGGTCAAGGCAAACACGCTTACAGTTGCCAGCAGTTTGGCTAAAATGTGACAGTCTTCAGCCATTTCACCCTTGTAAAAATTGTCTCTACCTCGTTCAAATGTCCAAAAAGCATGAGCAAGTTTGTGAAAAACACAGGAAAAAAAATAAGAGAGAATTCCACAGGCTTTCATATGTGTCTCTAAACACTTTAAACATGGGGCAAAGCCTCAAGTCTTTAGGACACAACTGGTTTAAGAAAAATTCTGAAAGGTCGGCATTTTATTAAAATAACTTCAAGGGTTCTTTCTGTACTACAACTGTATGAAAAAGGCAAAAGGCATGGAATAAAAAGGGGGAAAGATCCAGGGGCTAGTTAAGTAGAGGGATAGAAAACAGAGCTTGAAAAGACAAAAATGTGTTGACTACATTTACAATTTATCAGAGACATACCTCTATGATTTTACCTTCTACAAATTAAGACTTTGTGCTACTCTTGGCCAGACTGATTACAAATAAAACCTTTACAGAAAAGAGGGGCTGGAAGGACCTAAGAATCACACTGTTTCCATCATACTTCTTGTCTTCTGAACAATATGTCCAGTTTTTTTTTTTTTTGTTTTTTTTTTAATCATCCTCACCCGAGGACACTTTTCCATACCTTGTCCAGGTAGAGTGGGATTGAGAGAGAGGAACAGAGAGAAACATCGACGTGAAAGGGACACATCGAGTGGCTGCCACCCACACAGCCAACCAGGGCCAGGGACAAACTGCAACCAAAGTACGTGCCCTTAGCGGGAACCGAACCTGGGTCTCTCCGGACCGCAGGCCGACGCTCCAACCGCTGAGCCAAACCGGCAAGGGCACAATATGTCCAGTTTAACCTAGCAATGCCAAATGTAAAACAGAAGATTGGTTTGCATATTTCAGGCACTCTCCACCAAGAACTTTATTCACAAGATATCACTGTATCTACATTAAAAAGCTAGTTATATCCTGAAATCACTTAGAATATACTTTCTGAGTTTGCTATGTGGAGGAATAGTCATGAGCCCCATACAAAACAGTGGTCCCAAAAAATTATAATGGAGCTAAAACATTCCTATCACCTAATGATGTCATAGTAGTCGTGAGGTCTCAGTGCAACACAAATACTTACCATTGTTACAAATGCCTACAGTAGTCAGTACAGGTGTGCAGCTGAAAAGCCTCAGGATTTGTCACCCTAAAATATGTCTCTTTGGCATAAAAATTATTTTAGGCTGGTTGATTTTAAGAAAAAACAGACAGTGAGAATCTCTAAAAGCAAAGTAGAACTTACCCCTTCAAAATGCATTTACATTTGTAAGGGAACTCTCCATCTGTTAAAGGTTTTTTCCCAGAGGAGGATGGCCTCATCTCCAGATTCTTATGAAGAGGAAGACTTAAATATCCCCAACACTTAACCCTTGTTTACAGTGCTTTCCCTGGTAACCTCCTGTAACTGACTGTCCCTACTTCATCAACACCTTCTTTTGTCTTCAGCCAAAGACAATACTTAAGGTGGTGACTTCAGCCATTTTGGAGAGTTAATCAGTTCTCCCGAGTCGCTCCCTCGTACACAGAAGGTATATATATTATTAGATTTGTGCTTGTTTGTTTGCCTTTAATAGGCCTTTTATTACAGGGACGTCTCAGCCCAGAACCCAGAAGGGTAGAGGGGAAGTTTTCCTCCCCTACAGAGCGATAGGCTATGACACAGAGCCTAGGTGTGTAGTGGGCTGTGCCATCTAGGTTCGAGTAAGTACACTCTATGACGTGTACTCAACGACAAAACTGCCCAACCACACATTTCTCAGAATGTATCCCTGGCATTAAGTCGCACATGACTGTAGTTCACTTACCTGTGCAGGTCCAGTTCCACATAGGGAAAGATGAGTTTTTCTTTAATCAACTCCCAAATGATTCGTGTCATTTCATCTCCTTGCATCTCTACCACAGAACCGCCATGGATTTTTTGAGACATTTTGACTTCAATAAACCTTTAAAAAGAAAAAAAGATAAGACACATATCTTGTCAAAGTGGCCCACACCTGGAGTCACAAGTGAGCTAATGCTCAAAGACCTGGCGTCCCGATGGCTTTCAGGGGATACATTATGCTGGGGGAAATCATTAATCACGGGTGACTAAGGGAGTCAGGGTCGTGGCCAGGGCTGGCTGTGGTCTCTGCTGGCTGGTTGGCACTAGGGTAGGGTGTAGCTGAGCAGGGCATCTGGTCCTGATGCCAGCCACGGTGCCGCTTCATCTGGTTTCACCACTTTTCTGGGTCTGGAGCTAAAACACAACTGAGGCCTAGATGTCATCTTTAGTGTAACTGAAATTCTGTCTCTGTGACCAAAATCCCAAGGCTTTGTTCCTAAGATTGTTAAATGCTAACCAGAACCTCATTGTCCTGAGGCCTTAATGATGAAGGGAGTGGACATGCAAGGGAGAAGGGGGCAGGTACATCTGGTCCTGGATGAGGCCAGTTCGAATCAAAAGGAAAGGAGAAAAGATCATATTAAAGAAATTAAGTTTCAGCCCTGGCCGGTTTGGCTCAGCGATTAGAGCGTCGGCCTGCGGTCCTGAGAGACCCGGGTTCGGTTCCTGCTAAAGGGCATGTACCTCGGTTGCAGTTTGTCCCCGGCCCTGGTCGGTTGTGCGGGTGGCAGCCACTCGATGTGTCCCTTTCACATCGATGTTTCTCTCTCTCTCTCTCTTTGTTCCTCTCCGCCCCCCCCCCCCCCACCTGAACAAAAAATGGAAAAATGTCCTCGGGTGAGGATAAAAAAAAAAAAAGAAATTAAGTTTCTGCATAGTTACAATAGTATAAAAACAAAATACAAACATGTGGTGACTACAAAAGGAATAATTCATTAAAGCATGAATGTATAAAAAACTAATAATTACATTTACCATTAGAATTGAGCATGTTCTCTGCAAAATGCATTGTTACGTGCTTCATGTGTGATTTGAGTCAGCCCTCACAACCATGAAAGATAGAAATTATTTTCCTATTTTACTTTGATAAAAGAGAAGTGGCTTCCCCAAGGCCACCCAACTAGAGCATCAGGGAGCCTGACCCTGTAATATGCCCTCAGTAATGTAATCATTATTTGTGACTATTGGTTTGTCTTATAAAATAAGATTATTTAAACAATATTATGCTTATTTGAACACTTCTTTTCAACTCCTCATTTTACGGGGCCCTCAAGATGGGCAGAATGATGAGAGCTAGTATTTCCCCTCTTTCAGGAGGATTTTTTTTTTTTTATCCTCACCCGAGGATATTTTTCCATTTTTTGTACAGATAGAGTGGGAGGGAGAGAGAGGAAGGGAGAGAGAGAGAAACATCGACGTGAAGGGACACATCGAGTGGCTGCCACCCGCACGACCAACCAGGGCCGGGGACAAACTGCAACCGAAGTACATGCCCTTAGCGGGAACCGAACCCGGGTCTCTCCAGACCGCAGGCCGACGCTCTAACCGCTGAGCCAAACTGGCCAGGGCCAGGAGGATGTTTTGATTAAAATAACCACCTTTGAGGAGATGTGACAAGTTCTTGTGACTTATGTTTAAAGAACTTTAAGTCTCAAAGTAAAAGACGAGGAGTTCCTGGTGAACTGTTTTCCTAGAGACAATACTGGATACTGAGGATTTGGAACTAAATACAAAAGTGGGATCTCAACTAGAGGAATCTGCATACACAAGGTCATTGCTCAGGACCCAAGCATGTCCCTCTCCTCTTCCTCAGTAACCCAACTCCTCTATTGTTCTTCTGACTGTTCATGGGCAAAGATAAGCTGCCAGTGTATGGCATAGGGAAGCAGAACTGTTTCAGGAAGAGATGTCACTTTGAGGAACAGGGTGTAGGGGTAACAAATACAAGGCCATCTAATTTCCAGGAAGGACAGGGTCATACCCGTTGGAAGAAGCAAGACTATGAGGCTTAAAGGAAGGCTATGTCCTATACATGTTCCCTGAGAGGCAGAGGAAGCCCTGAGCATGCTAAAGGTATCTGTTCCCTTCCATGATGTTCTAATGGAAACTCCTCCCTCCCCCTAGCAACACAACTGCAAATTGCTTTTATTCCCCTGAATTCATAGCTGAGGACTGCAAAAGTCAGGAGAATGGACTTTAAAAATTACTTGGTCAGAGGCTTATAAACAGTTTCTCTTGAAAAGCTGAGCTCAAGTAATTTGGCCTTCACATTAAAAAATGTACTAGTCCTGGCCAGTTTGGCTCAGAGGTTAGAGCAGTTTGGCTCAGAGTGTCGGCCTATGGTCCAGAGAGATCAGGGTTCAGTTCCTGCTAAGGGCATGTACCTCAGTTGTAGTTTGTCCCTGGCCCTGGTTGGGTCGTGTGGGTGGCAGCCACTCGATGTGTCCCTTTCACGTTGATGTTTCTCTCTCTCTCTCTCCCTCCCGCTCTATCTGAACAAAAAATGAAAAAATGTCCTCGGGTGAGGATTAAAAAAATATATAGTAATCAGTAGATGGTAAGCCTCAGTTCCTTGTGACAAGCCAGGATGTATTTCTACCCCCGGGCTCATTTTCATTTCCCAAATTTGCAATTCTAGAATCCTGCTTATTAGTGTTTAGGAGGTTCCCTAGACTATTACTGGGGAACCATCTGGAACTCAACCATTGTAAAAGAAACAAACATATTGGTATGGATGAGTCAATTACTTCCCATTTGTAATTTCAAGTATAATTTACAGTATGGCTTAAAGTATATGATTCAGTCATGCTGATCCCACTGTCACATCTGTTCTTGTATGTAACACAAAATAAAACGAAAAGAGGCAGCAAACTTACCTTGGTCTTAATACTACGTTTCCATGGCCATATTTTTATATATATAATGCAAGAGTTATTACTTGGCTATTTTTCTTTGATGGCAAATACAATTAATAGAAGGTCATATACTGTGGGGTTGGGGGGTTGGAAGATGGACCTCCTGTTAAGCACTCTCAACCTCTTGGTTTTTTTTTGTTTTTTTTTATCCTCACCCGAGGATATTTTTCCACTTTTTGTACAGATAGAGTGGGAGGGAGAGAGAGAGAGAGAAACATCGATGTGAAGGGACACATCGAGTGGCTGCCACCCGCACGACCAACCAGGGCCGGGGACAAACTGCAACCGAGGTACGTGCCCTTAGCGGGAACCGAACCCGGGTCTCTCCGGACCGCAGGTGGACGCTCTAACTGCTGAGCCAAACTGGCCAGGGCTCAACCTCTTGTTAATGCATTCTCCTCAACCTCTTGTTAATGCATTCTCCTCAACCTCTTGTTAATGCATTCTCCTCAACCTCTTGTTAATGCATTCTCCGAATCCTAGCTGGAGGGGAGGTGGGGCTGGCCCAGGTGTACAGGGTACTTAATTTGCATGTGAATAAGGGTTTGTTATCTTTTGGCTTCAAGGTTTCTTCCTGTAAAAAGCAAGAGACAAAGCTAGGATGTTTGCAGTAATGCCATCTCAAGGATATAATGTACTTAAATCCACTTGTAACCTGGGGGTACCAGCCTGCAAATAAATGGGACTACGTCCAGAGAGCTGGAGCATTTGCTCTCTTACAAATCTCCCTCTCACTCCAACCAGCATGTGGTTGTAGGTTCATTGCGTTGCACCGGTCCCGGCAGGTGGAGAGAGGGTAATATACCATACTTAAAATTTCAATACTGAATGACAGTATTTTTTAGTTAATTATTTCATTTTCAGTTAAAGTAAATGTTTTGAGCAGTAATCTTTCTATATTCATAATGCATAACTGAACACTTCAGGTTTCCTCACATAACAAAAATTTTTATCACCTTTTAGCTAAACAATGGAAGCTTTATTGTAGACCCTGGTTTACTACAATGTAGGACATTATTTTATTTCTTAGATTTGAATTCCATGAGGTGGGCTTGAGGCCCATGGATTCACTTGTCTACCCATGCCCCTCAGATTTTCTGTCTCCACCTCAATCCCGACTTTAAAAGGAGGGGCTTCCCCACAGGCCAGTTCATTTTGTCTGAAAGCAACCGAATTCCAATCTCCTGACACTTGTGTAATTCCAGAAAATAACCTGGACTAATACAGAGTAGTTTAATAAAAAAAGCTACTCACCCCATCAACCCCAAATTATTTTCATCAACCCCAAATTTTTTAGCCATTTTTTAAAAAGCTGCTGGACTGAAAGAAATAAGGAAGTAGTTGCAATTTATTGTTGGAAATGTTCCTGACTCACTCCCTTGCAGTGCTTGCCTCCAAGATCTCCAAGATTAATTAAAAGCAGTATAGGCACATCAAAGAAAATACAGAAGTGGAGAAATTGCTAATCCTTACCTTTACAGTGAATCAACTTCTAATCACTCCAATTCCTCTCAGTCTTGCAAACTTGGGCTGAGTACAGCTGATCTCCTAAAAAACAAACAAACCGGGAATAAAAAGACAACCATACAAACCTCGCTTGTCAGGAGGGTTTAGACAGCCCGGTTTATCTGCTTTAAAGTACGGTGCTGAGTGAACCTAGAGGGGCAACGGACAGTTCGGCTCTGCAGCACTTTCCAAATAAAGGTTACGGGGGCACCAATCTCTCGGCCTGTACACCCGGAGGGCGCGTCCATGGGCCCTTCCCAGGTTCGCCGGCCCTAAGCTGGTCTTGAGGTTTGTACGTCCTCATGTGATGTCGAGACCGTCAGGCTCTTATCCTGCAAACGTCCTTGTAGCCGTTGTGCAAGAGGGTTGCAAGGGCAGCTGGCTCGATTCATCCTTCCTGGTCTCCACGCCCACTCCTTCCCTCTCCGACGCCGGACCTTTAAAAGGGCTCCCGCAGCCAACCCGGGAACGCCTTCCCCAGAACTCCAGATCCCCGCGGTGGCGGCGGTGTCTCCTCCGTCCCCCCCTTCGTCCCCACTCCGCCCCCTCCGCCAACGGGTGCTGAGCTCTTCCCCCTCCATGCCGCCAAGCCCTCGGCTTCCCTCTTTCTTTGCATTCAGTTCCCATAGCTGCACGTTTTCTTCCCCTTCAACCAAAGACTTAGTCTTCTACGTGTCCCTGCAGCTTCCAATCACTCCATTTTTCTTTCTGCATTAAGATCTGGGCTTCCACTGTTCCTGCATCCAACTTTCTGCTGCCCAATTTCACCTAAGAGCCAGTCTTCTCCACATCCAGGCACCTCGCACCCTCCTCCTCCCCATTTCCCTTTCCCACGGGCAACACCTGTATTTCGCTGCCCCCTTCCTTGCGACCAGAACTCGACGCTAAATTCCTTCCTCCACACCCAAGATCTTAGCTTTCTTCCTTCTCCCCACTCCAGCCGTTTGCGGACTCAAAGCCTCCCCCACAACCGGTGCCCGGGCTGCCCCTCGTAGCTTGCGGTTACCTGCAGGAGTAGGTACCCTGGCGACGCACGGGGCGGGGGGGGCGCCACAGCCACTCCCACGACCAAACGCACAAGTGCAAACGCTGGCAATTCCAGCTGGGTTCCTGCGGTCTCCGCGGCTCACTCGATCTCGGAGAAACCAACGGACCAGCAGGCGGGGCAGGCTTTTCCTCTTCCCGGCTTTTGTCCCCTCCCGGCCCTGCCCCCTCAGCCCACCTCCCGGAGCCCCGCCCCCGCCACGCCGCCAATCGTCGCGCGCCGAAGCCTCCGAGGTGGGCGGGGCAAAGGGTCAAGGCGGGTCCCGGAGCGCAGGGGAGCAATCTGCGGCGCCTTCTCCTCTGCGCCAGGGGCGGGGAAAGCGGCTGCAGCCGCCGCCCCGAATTCCGCTACAGCTTCTCGTGGTGGAAGGACGCGAGTGCCATCTGCAGGCGGGGGAGCAGGGCGCGCTGGGGCTGGCATTCTGAGACCCACGCCGCCAAAGGGCACTCGGCTTAGTAACAATCTAGAGTCAGGAGCAGTGAGTTTCCAGGCCACAGTAAAGGCAAACGGGGAGACTGAGCGCCTGGACCAGTCTCTTTCCCGGCTCTCCCTGATGTGCAGTAGGCTGGAACCGCCTTTGGCGCAAGGAAGGGTGATTCCCGGATATGAGCGCGGGTTGCTTTGGGGACTACTCCAACCACAGCAGCCTGAATGCAAAGGATTGACCAGTTATGCAAGTAGGCATGTCATAGTAAATATTTTCCGCCACCCCAATGACTAGGTCTTTAGCGCGTCTGTACCTATACAGTACCCTTTCCCCCCCTTATCCGCGGTTTCACTTTTGGTCGTTTAAGTTACCTGCGGTTAACTGCAGTCCCCAAAACATTAAATGGTAAATTTAATGCAGACTGGTGCAGCCACTATGGAAAACAATATGGTGTTACCTCAAAAAATTAAAAATTGAACTTCCATTTGACCCAGTGATCCCACTTCTAGGAATATACCCTAAGAAGCCTGAAACACCAATCAGAAAGAATATGTTCATAGCAGCACTATTTACAATAGCTAAGATCTGGAAACAGCCCAAGTGTCCATCAGTAGACGAATGGATAAAAAAGCTGTGGTACATATACACAATGGAGTACTATGCAGCTGTAAGAAAGAAAGATCTCTTATCCTTTGAGACAACATGGAGGGACCTGGAAAGTATTATCCTAAGTGAAACAAGCCAAGCAGAAAAAGACAAATACCACGTGATCTCACTTATTTGTGGAATATAATGAACATAACAGTCTGAGGAATAGGGTAGATCCAGAGACGTGGAAGTAGGGTGCAGACTGACAACCCTCAGAAGAGGGAGTGGTGGGGGGAGGGAAGAGATAAACCACAGAACTTATATGCATGTACGCATAACCAATGGACATAGACAACAAAGCCAGGGATGGGGTGGGGGGGGATGGGGAGGAGGGTGTTAATGGGGTAAAAAAGGAGAAACATCTGTAACAAAAATAAAATAAAATAAAGGTAAAAAACAAACAAACAAAAAAGAAACACAATTCATAAGTTTTAAATTGTGCACTGATCTAAATAGAATGATGAAATCTCCAGTCATCCTGCTCTGTCCCTCCTGAGAAGTGAATATCCCTTTGTCCTGCAGGTACATGCTGTATGCTAAACAGCTACCTACTCCTTAGTCACTTAGTGGTCTGCTACTCAGTGATCACCTCGACTATCTGATATTGCAGCATCTGAGAGCCTGTGTTCAAGTAACCCTTATTTCACATAACTTCTATTACTGTATGTTGTTATTATTGTTCTATTTTATTATTAGTTGTTGTTAATCTCTTACTGTGTCTAACTTATAAATTTAACTTTATCATAGGTATGTATGTTTAGGAAAAAAGTTTGGTACTATCTATGGTTTGAGACATCCAGTGGGAGTCTTGGAATTTATCTCCTCTCCCCCTATAAGGGTAAACTACTATAATTCCAATTACTATTACATACTATAACCAAACACAATTGTTATTACATTAAAAGATAAAGATAATGAGAACATTATTATTTGGGTTCTAGAGAAGTTAGACTAAAGATGTGAAGCCTGAGAAATCAGTGGATTGAAAAAAGAAATCTGTCCCCTGCAGGGAATTATTTTTTGTGTTTCCCTTACTCTTGAAAACATGGGGGTAAAGGAGTATTTTCAATAGTGATTTGTAGGTTAATAGCATGCTTATGTATTGCTGTTCAGGATGTAATGTTCTCAAATTTATTTTTAAAAATTATCTCTAGCATCAGATTATTACTCTTTGAAGATGAACTGATATGAGGCACTACATAAGGTGCATATTTGACACTAGAGGGCACTAGTATTTTTCCTAAGAGAAAAGGAAGAAAGAATACATAGCACAGTGCTTGGTTTTTGAGGAGGATTAACGAAAAGTAACTGTTACCTCCATTTATTCCTGTAGAAATGATTATAGAGGTGTATGAGTGTGCATTTCATCTCCAATCTGAGACCCAAAGTCACCTGAGATTGTAGCTTTACTCCATATTATGTCAGGTTCACATTTTTTTTTTTTTTTAACCGTTTGCCCACTACTACAAGTATTTCTATTCATTCTTGTTGGTCGTGCGGGTGGAAGCCACTCGATGTGTCCCTTTCACGTTGATGTTTCTCTCTCTCTCTCTTCCTCTCTCTCCCTCCACACTCTACCTGAACAAAAAAGGATTTAGGGCAGACTTCAAGATACATACAATACAGTATGATAAAACGCATTGAATCTAGATGAGGAAAATGAGGAGAAGAGAGAATAGATACAGGAAATGATATACAACCAAGGTGAATTTAATCACAAAATGTATACCATCAAATTCTAAACATTGCTGGAAACGGATCGCAAATTTGGCTCTAAGCCAGCGTGGGAAGAAAGACAACACTTACAGCAGTCTCAGCATCTAAAATCGTGTTTCCTAAGCCAGTAATGTAGGAACTTCGTTATCAATGAAAATATTTTTTTGTATATCCCTAGAATTGACTTCTAATGTTACTATATATATGCATAAAACTAGATATATGCTCCTCATGCTGCTAGCTCCTGTACAACTATAAAATAAAAAATTTCTACACAAAATGACTAGAAGCAAAACTATAAAATAATACATTACCTAGCAACATTAAATAAATATAGCAAATGATGTTTGGCTGAAAATAAATTATTCCTTGAAATATGAATATGAAAATGTGGATGGGGGTGCTGTGCAGAATAAGAAGAAAAGTCTATCTCAGCAAGAACTCTGTGAAATAATTAACATCTTTAAGAACCAGGTGGAGGAAAAGGAGCCCCCAAAAAAGAATGAAAAAGACTCTCTGGGATAGTAAAAGAATCAGCAGAGAGTGATGGGAGCCAAAGGAAGAGAACATTTTCAAAAAGGAGGGGGTACCACAGAGAGGGCAAGAAAGACAAAGCCTGAAAATTTTGGCAAGTGGGAGGATGTCATGAGAGCACTTTAGGAAGAATAATTCTATCAGAATGATTCTGATAGAAGCCAAACTATAGGGGGTTGATGTGTCAATGGGAGGTGGAGAATTTTGCAGATAAGAAAACTTTTTCAGAAGGTAAATGCTCTGCAAAGTCTCAGTAAGCAAGATTTTTTGTGTGCATGTGTTTATTTTTTTGTTGTTGTTGATCTTTTTTTAAACTCATCTTTATTGTTGAATGTATTATAGATGTCCCCCCTTTTATTCCCCACTGACCCCCTCCTCCCGAATCCCGCTTTCCTCCTGCCTTCCCCACACTATTGTCAGTGTCCATTGGTTATGCCTATATGCATAGAAGTTCTTTGGTTTATATCATCCTGCCCTCCCTCCCCCCTTCCCTTTAAGACTCATCAGTCTAATAACTAATTTGTACTTCTTAATTCTTTCATCTTTTTCACCCATCCCTCTAACCCCACCCATCTGGCAAGCAACAAACAGTTCTCTGTATCTGAGTCTGTTTCTGTTCTGCTTGCTCATTTTGTTTGTAGATTCAATTGTTGATAGATGTGTATTAATTGCTATTTTATTGTTCATATTCTTGTTCTTCTTCTCCTTCAAGAAGACCCTTCAACATTTCAAATAATACTGGTTTGGTGGCGATGAACTCCTTTAGCTTTTTCTTGTCTGGGAAACTCTTGATATGTCCATCAATTCTAAATGATAACTTTGCAGGATAGAGTAATTTTGGTTGTAGGTCATTGCTTTTCATCACCTTGAATATCTCTTGCCACTCCTTTCTGGCCTGCAAAGTTTCTTTTGAAAAATGAGCTGACAGTCTTATGGGAGTTCCTTTGTAGGTTACAAACTGCTTTTCTCTTGCTGCTTTTAATATTCCTTCTTTGCCTTTAACCTTTGGCATTTTGATGATGATGTGTCTTGGTGTGGACTTTTTTGGGTTCATCTTGTTTGGGACTCTCTGTGCTTCCTGGACTTCTGTGTCTGTTTCCTTCACCAAGTTAGGAAAGTTTTCTGCCATTATTTTTTCAAATAGGTTTTCTCCTGGCACCCCTTTGATGAGAATGTTGGCACGCATGAAGTTGTCCCAGAGGCTCCTTACACAACCCTCATTTATTTTAGATTCTTCTTCCTTTTTGCTGTTCTGATTGGGTGTTTTTTGCTTCCTTATATTCCAAATCGATGGTTTGCTTCTTGGCTTTACCTCCTCTACTATTGGTTCCCTGTAAATTATTCTTTATTTCAGTTAGTGCATCCTTCATTTCTGACTGGTCCTTTTTATGTTTCTTAAAGGTCTCCTTAAGTTCCTTGAAGGTCTCACTAAGTTCTTGAATGTGTGACTAAGTTCCTTGAGCAACCTTATAACCTGTGTTTTGAACTCTGCATCTGATTGATTGCTTGTCTCCATTTTGTTTAGTTCTTTTCCTGGAGTTTTGTTATTTTCTTTCATTTGGGACATGTTTCTTTGTCTCCTCATTTTGGCTGTTTCCCTGTGATTGTTTCTATGTATTAGGTAGAGTTGCTATGTCTCCTAGGCTTCAGAGGATGGCCTATTGTTGTAGGTGCCCTGTAGGATCCAGTGGCACAGCCTCCCTGATCACCCCAGTTGGGCCCTCGAGGGGCACCCCTAGTGTGGA